GAGCAGCAGCAGCAGCAGCAGCAGCAGCAGCAGCAGCAGCAGCAGCAGCAGCAGCAGCAGTAGTAGTAGCAGCAGAAGCGGCAGCAGAAGCGGCAGCAGCAGCACAGCACAGAACACCCCGGATTGGCTTGCTGCTGCTGCTGCTGCTGCTGATTGCGCGGAAGTGCTGCTGCGGCTGCTGCTGCTGCTGCTGCTGCAGACGCGCAAACCCTAAACCCTAAACCCTAAACCCTAAACCCTAAACCCTAAACCCTAGACTCACCTGCAAGGACTGGAAAGGAGCGTCAATCCCAAAACGCATCGCCAGCAGCTCCCCCAGCAGCAGCTCGGCTTCTTCGTGGGGCGTCAGAAACGTCTCGGGGTCTTCGCTGCACCCAAACCCACCCTAAACCCTCAACCCCAAACCCTAAACCCTAAACCCTAAACCCTAAACCCTAAACCCTCGCGGACCTGCCCTGGAAGAAGGCGCTGCATCTGCATCTGAAGGCGGAGTATTTGTTGCTTCGGGTCTTTTTAGTTCCCCCAGCTTCTTCGAGCAGCAGCAGCAGCCGCTGGGGGTCTCCCCAAACCACCAAACCCCTAAACCCTAAACCCTCGGCGCTGCTGCCTGCAAACCCTAAACCCTCGGCGCTGCTGTCTGCAAACCCTAAACCCTCGAGCGGCGCTGCGTCCAGCACGGGGTGGCCCTTCAGCTTGCAGAGCAGGTACTGCTGCAGCGCGACTTCCACAGGGTCTGCTGCTGCTGCTGCTGCTGCTGCTTCTGCTGCTGCTGCGCTGCTGCTGCTGCTGCTGCCTGGCGGCGGCTGCAGCACCACCACTAGGCGCGTGCTGCTGCGCCCCTTTTGCTGCAGCTGCACTTCCGCGGGCCCCTCGGGTGCTGCTGCTGCTGCTGCTGCTCCTGTTGCTGCTGCTGCTGCTGCTGCTGCTGGAGGAGCAGCAGGAGCAACAATTGGAAATAAAAAAGAAGAAACAGAAGAAGAAAGCCGAGGCAAGAAAGAAGGCAGCAGCGCCCCGAAGCCGTGAGGGTGCTCTGCTGCTGCTGCTGCTGCTGCTGCTGCTGGCGCTGCTGCTGCTGCTGCTGCGGGCGGGGGCGTTGCTGCTGCTGCAGGCGGCGAGGGCGTCGCCGCTGCTGCAGCGGGGACAGCCGCCACTGCTCCTGCTGCTGCTGCTGCTGCTGCTGGCGCTGCTGCTGCTGCTGCTGCTGCTCTCGTGGGGGAGACAGGGGACAGGTGAGAAACTGCTGTGGTGCTGCGCAGGTAGGAAACGTTGCAGCTGTTCATGCTCTGAGAACCACGCAAACCCTAAACCCTAAACCCTAAACCCTAAACCCTAAACCCTAAACCCTAAACCCTAAACCCAGCCTTGAGCTCTCTCGAGGTGAGATGAGGAGAAAGCAGCAGAACAAGAGGCACTTCTGCTGCTGGTGCCGCCGCAGCTTCAGTGGCAGCAGCAGCAACAGCAACAACGTCAGTGGCGCAGAGCCGCAGCAGCAGCAGCAGCAGCAGCAGCAGCAACAACAGCGCCAGGTGCAGCAGCAGCCGAAGCAACATCAGAAGCAGAAGTAGCAACAGCAGCACCCGCAGCAGCAGCAGCGGCAGCAGCGGAAGCACAAGCTGCACCAGATGTTGGACGAGCAGTAGCAGCAACAGCAGCGCAGCAACAGCAGCAGCAGCTGCAGCAGCAGCAGCAGCAGCAGCAGCAACAGCAGCAGCAGCAACAGCAGCAGCAGCAGCGTACAATGGATCGAGTGACAAAGTGGCCCTCTCCACTTTGCTGCAGCGCAAACAGCAGCGAAGCTTGTCGCTGGGCGTCCAGGGGCCGCATTTGCTCCTGCTGCAGTTGCTGCAGCTGCTGCTGCTGCAGCTGTTGCTGCTGCAGCTGCTGCTGCTGCTGCAGCTGCTGCTGCAACATCCTGGCCACAGCTTCTGGAGCCCCGAAACATAAAACAGAAGCTGCTGCTGCTGCTGCTGCCGAAGCTTGGCTGCTGCTGAGGGCGTCGTTCCTTTCCTTTCCGAGTTGCTGCTGCTGCTGCTGCCAGTGCTGCTGCTGCTGCAGCTGCTATTCCTGCTGCTGCTGCTGCTTCTGTGTGCTCAGAGAAAGAAGGGCGCCGGCTGGGCTGGCCCTGACACAGCCGCTGGTCCGCACCACTCCTTCCAAACCCTAAACCCTAAACCCTAAACCCTAAACCCTAAACCCTTGAAGCAAGAGATGCAAACGCTTCTCGCCCATCACATCATTGTCGCGTTGCTTATGTAAGAAACAAGTGAAGAAGATAGGGGCGGAGCAGAACGATTCGAAGGGCCCCCCGCTGCTGCTGCTGCTGCTGCTGCTGCTGCTGCTGCTGCTGCTGCTGCAGTTTGCATACAACGATAGACACAAACTCTCCTGTTGAGATTGATAAGTTAACAAAAGAAAAAAGGGAAAGGATTAGAGCCTATCGGTACTTATAGCCGTTTCTCACACTGCAGCAGCTGCTGCTGCTGCGGCGTGCAGCAGCAGCAACAGCAGCAGCAGCAGCAGCAACGGCTTTGATAACAGCAACTCTGACTCCCTAGGGCCGGTCGGCTGCAGGCCAAGTTATTACTAAAGAATCTCTAATAGAAGGCCGCTCCAGCCGTTGTTAAACACTCAAACCCTAAACCCTAAACCCTAAACCCTAAATCCTAAACGTTAAACCCTAAACCCTAAACTCTAAACCCTAAACCCTAAACTGTGCCCCAGCGCGCTCCTAAACCCCTAATGAGTTTCTTCCAAGACATAGCAGCCAACCCCTCTTTCTTAATAGCGCATTATACTCCACTTTGGGCAAAACGAGTTCTAAACTCTAAACCCTAAACCCTAAACCCTAAACCCTAAACCCTAATTCTACAAATAATCGCGTTTCGTGGGACACCATGTGTACTGTACTACTGCTCGCTGCAAACCCGAGCCTGTTGTTTGTATCAAAACCCTAAACCCTAAACCCTAAACCCTAAATCCTCTTCAATGATGGCCCCCACTCTGTCAAGACCCTCAAGAGAAGCGGGCAGCGTGGCTGCTGCTGCTGCTGCTGCTGCTGCTCATGCTGCTGCTGCTGCTCATGCTGCTGCTGCTGCTCATGCTGCTGCTGCTGCTCATGCTGCTGCTGCTGCTGCTCATGCTGCTGCTGCTGCTGCTGCACGCTCCTGAACACCAAGAAGCAGCCGCAGCTAGCCACAGCTAGCTGCAGCTTGCTGCAGCAGCACGAGGCTCTTCAGCAGCAAAACCCTCGCGAGGGTTTAGGGTTTGGAAACACCCCAGCCAGCAGCAGCAAATTGTAGCTAGCTGCGATGCCCCGAAAGTCTCAGCAGCTAGCCGCTGCTGGCAGCAGCTAGCTGCAGCAGCTAGCTGCAGCAGCTAGCTGCAGCTAGCTGCTGCTAGCTGACTCCATTGGACCCCCAAACAGCTGCCTCACACACGGGAAGTGAAAGCAGCAGCAGCAGCAGCAGCAGCAGCAAAAGCAGCAGCAGTTAGCAGCAGCACAGAGAGCAACTAGAGACAGCACCTGCAGTAGCAGCAACGCCGACAGCAGCAGCAGCAGAAGCAGCAGCAGCAGCAGCAGGACAAAAACTGCATGCTCCCTGTCCCTTCTATTTCGCCTCTTGCCTTCTCACCATCCCCAAAACTAAACCCTAAACCCTAAACCCTAAACCCTAAACCCTGATAACATCCTTTCCCTAAACCCTAAACCCTCTCAGGCTTTCAATGATTCTTCTAAGTTGCAAAAAATGCTCGTTCTTCCTTTTGCTACATTTGCATGTATTGCTGCTAGCTCGAAGCAGCAGCAGCAGCAGCAGCAGCAGCCCCAGCTGCTGCTGCTGCTGCTGCTGCTGCTGCTGCTGCTGCTGCTGCACCCGTGGGAAACACAAAGCCTCTAAGAAACAAATTCCTGCTGCACCCGTGGGAAACACAAAGCCTCTAAGAAACAAATTGACGTGAAGCCCGTCGGCCTTGTTGTTAACCACAGAATGCAGCAGCAGCTTCGCTGCTGCTGCCGTTGCTGCTGCTGCTGCCGATTTTGTTGTTGCTGCTGCTGCTGCTGAACTGCTGCTGCACCTTGGCCGGCGCTGTGCTGCTGCAGCACGGGAAGCAGCAGCAGCTGCTGCTGTTTCGAGTCATCTGTGGTGTATGTACAGAACTCTAAAACCCAAACAAATTCTGGCCGTCTAGGGCCATGCCAACTGGAGCTGCTGCTGCTGCTGCAGTGAGGTGCAGCAGCTGCTGCTGCTGCAGCAAGTGCTGCTGCTGCTGCTGCTGCAGTTGCTGCAGCAGCGCGACACAAAGAAGGCGATGACGAATGGGGCCAGACTCCGGCCCATTAAGAGGCCAAGAATGCTGCAGCAGCACAGCAGTACAGCCCGCCGTTGCTGCTGCTGCAGCTTCTGTCGCTGCAGCTTCTGCTGCCGCAGCTGCTGCGGCTGCTGCTGCTGCGGCTGCTGCTGCTTCTCCGCCCGCCTACTACGGCTAGCCTTGCCGTAGGTGTCCCTATTGCTGCAGCAGCAGCAGCAGCAGCTCCAAGTTGCTAGAAAGCAGCAAGAGCGCCAACATGTCCATTTCGTCGGCTGTCAGCCGTACTTTCTGCTGCTGTTGCTGCTGCTGCTGCTGCCGCTGCTGCTGCTGCTGCTGCTGCTAGCTCATCCTGCAGATCATCCGTCGCACTTACATGGGTGCAACTAGCCCCGGCTACTGCTGTGGTGTTCTAAATATGTCCCTGCTGCAGCAGCTGCTGCAGCAGCTGCAGCAGTAGCAGCAGCCGCAGCAGCGGCGGCTGCAGCTGCAGCAGCTGCCGCCCGGCGGCTGCAGCTGCAGCAGCTGCCGCTGCTGCTGTGGCGGCAGCTCCCAACAGTTGTCTGTCAAAAGCTTGCCGCCATATCCTGCCGCATGCCGGGCCCCACTGTGCGCTGCTGCTGCTGCTGCTGCTGCAGCAGCAGCTGCTGCTGCTGCTGCTGCAGCTGCTGCTGCTGCTGCATCAGGCTACGGGGGAGTTGTTGTCGTCGCCTCCGTTGGGGCCCTGAGGCTCCCTCGGCACCTTTGCAGGAAGTGTTGGAGAGCCTGCAGACACAGCAGCAGCAGCAGCAGCAGCAGCAGCAAAAGATAGCACAGCAGCAAGCAGCAGCAGCAGCAGCAGCGGCAGGGGCTGACACACAGCGGAAAACTGCTGCAGCAGCAGCTGCTGCAGTTCTTTCTTCAACAGCAGCTCGGACCAGGCACAGCAGCAGAACGCCAAGCAGCAGCAGCAGCAGCAGCAGCAGCAGCAGCAGCAGCAGCAGCAGCAGCAGCAGCTCACTCCTGAAAGCAGAGAAGAAGATGGCGAGCACAATGAGGATCAGAGAAGCAACGTGAGTGGGCGAGAGGCCCCCCGCAGTTTGCTGCTCGCCGCCGTCGCCGCCAGGCGCTGCTGCTGCTGCTGCTGCTGCTGCTGCTTCGCCCCCCGCTGGCAGCACATCCGTGGGGGCCCCCAAAGTGTTGGCAGCAGCAACAGCTTCCCGAACAGCCCCCATGAGGCCCGCCAGGGAGCTGCAGATACACCCCACCAGTTCCTCCGACATTATCAGTTGTTTTGCAAAAGTTGAAGCGGAGGCAGCAGCAAACTGCGTCGCCGTGCTGCTGCTGCTGCTGCTGCTGCTGGCGGTGCCCCCCAGAGGGCGTTGCTGCTGCTGCTGCTGCTGCTGGCGAAGCGGGAAGGCCTTCAGCGGGCCGGCGCCGTTAGAGCGCAAAGCTGCAAAGATGGAACTGCGGAGATGAACACCGAGAACAGAAGCAATCCCTCACGAATGCTGCTGCTGCTGCTGCTGCTGCTGCTGCTGCTACAGATGGGCGTTTGCTGGAGGGAGCGGTCTTGGGCTGCTGCTGGTGAGAGCCGTCTTCTGTCGATGCTTGCAAAGCTCTAACGCTAGAAGCAAATAAAATGCTACCCTTAATTACGAAGCGTGAACAGGCCCTGCTGCTGCAGCGGCAGCAGCGGCAGCAGCAGCAGCAGCAGCACGCCAGCCGCTCGACTGGTGCGCTCAGCAGCTGCCGCTTAGCGCTGCTGCTACTGAGGTTGTTCAGCTGTCGGTACACCTCGGATTACATGTCCATATTAACTTTATCTGTTTATAAAAGGGCAGCATTTCCTGCGTTCCACCCGCCTTCCTCTCCCACGCTTCTTCTGTGCACGTGGTGCTGCTGCTGCTGCTGCTGCTGCTGCCGCTGCAGCTGCTGGTGTCGCCGCTGCGACCGCGTAGCGCACATTCTATTTCTTCAGAGGGTCGCCGCGCGGGGCCGCGGCCGGTTTGCCTTTTCTGTTTTGCTGCTGATACTGCAGCAGCAGAAGAAACAAGCAGCAGCAGCTGCTGCTGCGCTCGCGGCCGGCACGGACACTCACGCTGCGCCTCCTCTCTCGCCCGCCAGCAGCCGCTCTGCAGCGCAGCAGCAGCAGCAGCAGCGCTGCAGCAGAACTCTGGCTGTGCATTTAGCGCAGCGAGGCCTTCGACCACCTTTCTGAGGCCCGGCACGGCCGCGTGGCCGCAGCAGCAGCAGCAGCAGCAGCAGCAGCAGCAGCAGCACGCACACCGCGCGCAGCAGCAGGCCTTCCGCAGCGCCGCGCAGCGCCTCCTCCCCCTTTCTTTCTTTTGCTGCTGCCACAATGTCTGAAGAACTGGTGGGGTGTATCTGCAGCTCCCTGGCGGGCCTCATGGGGGCTGTTCGGGAAGCTGTTGCTGCTGCCAACACTTTGGGGGCCCCCACG